AATTCATTTCATCTTCCATAGCATTTATCCATTCTTGTAACTCAAGACTTGTCAACGCTTGATTAAAAGTACATGGTTAATAATATGCTCAACATTAAAATCACTCATAGTGGAGCCTTTCCTATTGAATTTTGGTCAACTTTCTTCTTATATAATCCATACAAGTGTCAAAATCAGAGAAGTGAGTGAGGAAGGTATTCAACTTTAACCAATCTATCCATCCTATATTTATATCCTTTGAAATGTTACCCAATCTCTTACGCCACAACATGGATGATGATTCCCGAATTAGAGACCTTCTCTTCGACACATTCACAACACAAGAGACTTCACAAGAAGATGTCAAAGATAATTTATATAAACCATCACATAAGATGTCATTTCCAATTAAACGAGAATTTTAAAACAATTCAACCATTTTATTATCAAAATTAAATGAAATATTCCAAATTTGAATACTTTCAAAATATAACTTCAACATAACATAGGATTCCAATAATATTCCAAATTTGAACACTTTATGACGTGCACTTCAATTATAATTTTTCAATACTTCAAATAAGAAATTCGAGTTACACCCAAATTCTACCAATTGTCATTTGCATTTGGATAAAAGGATTTCATTTTTGTTAAAGAGAATCAAATTTCCATGAAGATAGAAAAAGTGAGTTTGTTATATTGACCCGATGTGCATGTTATTTTTGTCAATTTCACACAGTACTTTTTAAATCCGTAGGAATTCCTGGGCATTTCTGCCCATTCCGTTGAAAGCCTAAGAAGAGACATCTGGACTTCGGCCAGGAAATTGTGGCAAACTATACGGGTGAGTCCGTAATGCTATTACCCATATTTTTATTCATAAGTCGATCGGACGTCTCCACTTGAGTGTGGTCGAGTGGCGTACTTAAATTTTAAATAAAATAATTTTCAATAGTAATTGGTGGAAAAGAATTACAAACAAGAGATTGCTAAATATTCGAGACACTAGTTAGAAATAGGGTATAAAATGGGTCGAACCGATCCAACGTTGGCCAACTACGCGAGTGAGCCATTCGACTTAACAATT